ACCGCATCAGGATTCTTATCAAGAATTTTAGCATAAGTTTTGTAATTGAATGTCTATCTGACATTAACGCTCGATGACATTAATGTTTTATTTCACACTTGCTTCCTACTCTTCATAACAAGCTTTTTAATTGCTTAGTCCAACAGCTATCATATTTGGTTGAAGTTGCTTTCCTCTTCTTCCTGCCGGATTCCTAACACTTCCATTTAATTATTCAAGTATAAGCTTCTGTACAACACACTGTCTGAAGCTGGGAATGTTGTGATAGAACTGACTCAGCCTAAACTTTTTGTGAATTTGTTTATGGGAATTCAAGTGATAATGAGAATTGATATTAAACGTTGGCGCTAAGTTTAGTGCTGTTTTCCGCATGCAACAGTGTTTATCTGCTATAATTACTTTTACATTTGCAAGAATGTAGATTTTGGGCATTGAGAAATGACACTAATGATACTTTTACAAAAATCTGTTAGAGATCCTCCAATTTCGACCCTACTAGCATTCATAAATTAAAAAATGGCATCACATTACTTGTTTGGTAGATTCCCAGCTAGTTAAAATTTTTCTGCTTTTAGATATCACAAGTTTTAATAAAACTACCCAGGTTGGCATGATTATACTTCAAATCAGCCTTTCTATGTCAGAATTGGAAATGAAAATCCTTGGAATATTGAACCTGTTGGATCCTAAATTATCCGTCAGTCATACCACCAGATCACCCAGACTAGAGTACTTCAGAAGAGAAGAGAGAATTGAGAAGAGAGAGAAAGGGGGCGAGATAGAGGGAAGGATTCTATTAAGTGAAAGAGTAAAGTAAAGGTGTCGCAATGCCTCATATTTTTCTTAGTTTCAACCTTATTTACTGATCTCTTGGTTTGGTTTGATAACTCGTTAGGCTACATAAGTGGCTACATTTGTACTTTGTCAAAAAAGATAAAATACATGTTTTGTAGGGTGATTTTTTGTTTGATAGAGATCTTAACTGAGGAAATCATATGATACCGGAATTGGTATAGAAATAAAGTAAAGAGAAACACAACATAACCACTAATAATTTTATAGAAGTTGGAAATTGAAAATACAACACACTGAAAGTAAATAACAACGAAAAATACTAGGCAATAGCATGTAGGTGGTTCTAGTTAAGGTTTGGACCTCTAGGGTGGTGGTGAGGAGGCGGCTAGCAAGTTGGAAACACCAAGACATTTGTTTCCAGGAGTTCAGACTGCAAGCTGCAAGCACGAACAGTTATGGGAGCGCTGTTTGGGGCAGCAGCAGCTGCAAGAATATGGGGCTCGCGGTTCTGGGTGGTGGCAGTAAGGAGGGAAGCAGGTAAAGTTTTAGGAAGGCTCTTCTTGGTGGCAACAGCAAGGAGGAAAGGGAAGACAACAATACCATTGCTGTCCCTGGGCGGCGGCAGCAGGTTGGACTCGGAAAACAACAGTTTCCTATTTTCTGGGCTGCAGCAGCAGAGTAACAATAAAGGTGAAGTTGGTGCGATGCAGGAATGGATGGGAGAAAAGTTATCGGAAGGATAAATGCAACCTGGAGACCAAGCGACAGC